CCCCAAAACCCCAAAACCCCAAAACCCCAAAACCCCATTTGCAAATAATCTTAAGTATTCTGTAGTTTTCAATTAATAAATCTAATTCAGAACTTAAGTCATCTATCTTATATTCGATTAGATAAAATTATTGAATTAATAAAAGCATATTTCCCAAAACCCTTTTATCGTTATTTACTTCACTCAAAATCAAGTAAATATTCATGACATATAATCCATGGTACACTAAATAATTGCTTTACTTCCAACATTAGCTATAATCTAGACTTTGAAGATTCTAGTCCTTTTTTAAGAGTTCTCTTATAATAACTTAAATCTAGTAATCTTTCAAACATTTCTACATGATCAGGAGATTGATACTGAACATTATTTGCATTCCAGAATTCTTAGAATCTTTTCAATGTGTCTTGCTATAGAGCAACTTCTCTAGAAGTTGAGTGACTCCAAAGGATACTGTAAACATAGTGATCGATTCTATGATTTTTTGAATTATAATAAGCAGAAAAATAAACGGCTTTTGCATAATCGGAATAAGAACTACTTTACGACTAAGCTGCATTTTGAAATATTAATTTGAATTGTTTGATCATAGCCTGTAATTTTTAATTTAGAGCTTTAACTGCATCTTCATCTTTATTACCAGGATCTCCAATGAATTTATCCATGTTATCATCACTAAGTGAATATGATAAAGTCGTACAATAAAGTTCAGACTCCTAAGCTATGTTATATTCAGACATCAGTTCTCTTAATTTTTTGTTAGCAGGCATAACTATAGTTTCATAGGCATGTTAGATATATCTTAAAAAGTTTCTTTTGCTATAATCATCACTATCAGAGTCATCAAAATTATCAAAAGGGATAATGGCTGGACTCAGTTTATACTAATGAAGTATAGTAAGTTCATGATCAGACTTAATTAGATTTTTGTAGTACTTCTTGCAATCTACAGCTCTATAAAGTTAGCCCAGGATGAGATTTGATTCTACTTTCTTTCTATCCTTATCAGTTTTATCCATAAAATCTGGCCACTGCTTCAACTTTTTTTCTAAATATGCATACTTTTCAGGAGCTACTGATTTTCCATGCTTTGCAAAATCTACTGCTATTGAAATATACCAAGAAAGTTCCTTGGCATCTTCAGTAAAAGGCCCATTTATTCCAATCTAATCACAAAGACCTAAATGCAAGTGAGAGAGGTGGCCTAAATTATCGTTCTAGAAATAGTAAGCCATGCATTCTACAATGTCATCATTCTTGTTAATTTTATCATCTGCCTCAAATTTCTTATACACAGCAGGCGGTTAAATATTTTCTGGCAGCAGTTCATTTATGATAGTCTCATCCCAGATACACATATAGACATCTCCATCTAAATCACCACCGGACATTTTATGCTATTCTGGTCTGATACCTTTACTTGGAAAAACAATAACATTTATTAGATCTTCAAAGACGGAACTTCTCTCATCATCTTCATCTATAGCATTTAATAGCCTGATATCCCCTGGATGACTGCAAGGATTTTTAGTTATCATTACTGGGCCTGACATCTAGAAGTCTTCATGATTGTACATGAACTAGGCATTTGTTTTCATTCCTTTCTTTTCATATTGATTAATAAACCTTTACTCTATCACATTCTTTGCTTGATCAATTTCAAAGCTAGATTTATTGATTTTTACAAACACTTCTCCTTCGTTTAAAGTTCCAGTCTCATCAATAACTCCAATTAGTACGCAAGACTTGTTAACTCTAATTCTAGCTCTTTTCTTTAAACTTACAGCAAGCCCTAAGACCATGTTTTCAAGAATCGAAATAAATATTGGCTCATGCTCCAAGCTGAAATAAGTGAATTTTACTTCATGTTATAGTTAGATAGCTTCATGTCTTTATTTTGCTATGTATAAGAGAGAACCTTTAAATATAGGAGCAAATATTTTGCTTGGACCAAAGAATAATTCAATATCTGCAGCAACAGCTTTAGCTTATTTTTAATGATCCTTATTAAGTCTTGATCTTAAAAAAACACTTGATCTGGTAACTAGATCCTTAATGATAGATTTAGCATCAAGTTTAGAGACTTGCTCTTGAAGTAAATTTAGGAATACCTTATCTGAAACTTAGAGACTGCTTAAGAGCAGAATTACCTATCTATTTAAATAGCCTTAACTGAAAGTCGAGCATCTAATGACTTCAAGATCCCAACTGTTGCATTCAAATTTTTTCTAACTATCTCTTACTTCAATTATTCTACCCTCAAGTCTCTCCTAATCATCATCTTTATAAATCTTTCGCATCATTACACCTTTAACACCTCCAAGTCTTACTTAAAATGCTGAGCATTTCTCCAATTAAAACATCTATGCTATTTCATCACAAAGTTCTTCGGAAATATTTCCACACCCATCTGTAAATGTATACATTCCTTCTTTATCATAAATATCATCCGTCTTTTTTATCTTTATATCCTCAATGGATCTAATGTTCTCTTCGTTATTTAATTTACAAACGAATTTGGTAGTAGAGAAGCATTGCCCAATTCGAGCAAACATTTTTAAGTACCCTTCCTTATTCATGAACTATCCCATACTTTGAATGATTGAATTTTTCTCTATTCCTGCTAATTTAGATTCACAGACCATCCAAACAGAATGATTCTTTAGCTGAGAGTTTGAATAGTTAAGTACTTTGGCATTTACACCTCCTACAAAAAGATTAGATTTCATTACTTCCTTCATTTTCTCCAAAAGTTCTTGCTATCTTACTGCTCCAAATTTAAACTTTTCCATATTATCACTGACCAAAACAAGCCTAAAAAAGAAATCTTTGATCTTTGCGTTATATCTTAGCACTCTATTAGTTTGATCTTTAGCATTTGGCTAGAAAAGTAAAAGAGTTGGGGTTAGATATACTCTTCTTAATCTCAAATCATTGCCTTCCTGATTTTCCTCTTGTATTTCTATTCTGATATCTTCGCTAGTTTTTTCGAGATATTCAAAAGCGCTCAAGATATTTTATTTTCCACCTTAATTTGGCTTATTCTTGTATTTTTGAATTTAAGCTTTTACATAGGAGGTATTGCACATTTAATCTATAATGTAGATTATTCTTCTAATCTCATATAACACTTCTTCATTTCCTTATTCCATGAAATAATCTCCCTTAAATTAATTGGCACTTTACTAAAATATTCTCACATTATGATTAAGCATAGTTCTTTTCAAAATCAATTCCATAAAATTAATAATTGTTCTATCAAAGATAGAAACTTTTTTAGTTGATAATAAGGAAAGCATAGCAAATCTTGCTGGAATTACAAATTACGAGATTTTTTAATTGAAAATTTGATTCGTTTCTAATAGTTTTTCATGTTCTTTAAATAAGGCCTCTTCTTAGAGAACATTTACTCCATCAAGCTAGGTGAATTCAAGCTTAGGAATCTGATCTAATCTCTATAATTTTTTGCAGAGTTCATCTAAACTCATTGATGGATCGAATTTCCCTTCAAGATAAATTACTTGCTTTAAATTCCAATAGTTTAAGAACTGTTTGTCAGAATCTGAGAATACAAATGGAGAGAATATTTATCTCATATTACTCTTTTTAGAGCCATCTTTGAGAAATACTATACAAGGTTTTTTAAGTACAATCAAAATTGAGACTGTCTCATTATCTTTTTCTTAAGCTGCAAATGTTTGAATGTTATCAATCTTTATGTCTAGTTAATACTTGTTATGCAAGTTATTAAGAATCTTCTAATGAAACACTACTTGGATGTTTTGATAAGTGATATCCTCAATGTCTAGTTATTAGTGATTACTATAAAATATGAGTGTTAATACCTGGAAAATATAAAATTTGTTTCACTTAAAAAGATTTGTTGGACCAAAACGTTTTCAATTTATATTTTGTATAAACTTACTCCGGTATTTTAAACTGAAGAGATATGTCTTCTATTTTGTTAGGAAAGAATCCTTCATTTTCATAGAGATAAGGAAACATAGGGATGTATATTTTCTCTACCTATTTCTAAGTCTCATCATATTGATATTTAAATGATCCCACTGAAAATTCATGGACATCATTTAATATAGTTGCTCTTCTAACTTGTTAATCAGGTAATGCCATCCTTTCTAAAATAATCGAGTTAAGCAACAGAAATTATTGAAAGTATTTGGCTGTAATTCAACATATCTATTGAAACTAATCCATTATTCTTTTGCCTCATATAGCTGGGAAGCTTACCTTATTTTTAAGATCTCTACTTTTAAATCATTTCTAGAAATTTTGACTAAAAGATATGAGATTAAGCAACAAAAAATGATCACTTAAGAATGATCGTTTAAATAATTGAATTAAAAAAAGCACTGAAATTGAAAATTAAACATACCAAATGCCAGTTTGATTTTTCTATCTTTGATCTAGGCTCCTTGAAGTCTTCAAAAAAGTTTGTGCCATTATTATTTTCAAATGGCTTCGCTCTTTACTCCATACTCTATTTTATCTTTAAATTATTAAATTCTATTTCTCTTCTGTTTTAATACTGTGGGGTTTTGGGGTTTT